CTTTTGAGTTCAGTAGAGCTAACATCTTCACCTGAAGGAGGGTTCTGTTGTTGTTGTTGTTGTTGTTGTTAGTCGCAAAGTCGTGTCCGACCCATCACAACCCCATGGACAACATTCCTCCTGGCCTTCCTGTCCTCCACCATCCCTTGGAGTCCACTTAAGCTCACACCACTGCTTCAGTGACTCCATCCAGCCACCTCATCCTCTGCCGCCTCCTTCTTCTTTTGCCATGTATTGTTGGCTCTTCTCCAGGGAGTCCTTCCTTCTCATTAGGTGGCCAAAGTATTTGAGTTTCATCTTCAGGATCTGGCCTTCTAAAGAGCAGTCAGGGTTGATCTCCTCTAGGACTGACCGGTTTGATCGCCTTGCGGTCCAAGGGACTCGAGGGAGTCTCCTCCAGCACCACAATTCAAAGGCCTCAATCCTTCGGCGCTCAGCCTTCCTTATGGTCCAGCTTCACAGCCATACATTGCAGCTGGGAAAACCATAGCCTTGACTATACGCACTTTTGTTTGCATGGTGATGTCTCTGCTTTTTAGTATGCAGTATGGAGGGTTTAGTATGAAGGAGGGTTCTGCTGAACTCCAGAGTTTGGTTGTCATGCTGAGCTGTTCCAGTTGGTCCTAAGTGTGGTATTGCACAATGGCCACTTTTGGTAGCCACCTGGAACCATTAACAATGTATGCAGCAGTTCTTGTTCACAAAACTGGGATGCATTTTGCACTCCCTTCTCTGTATGAGCTCAGGTTGGCTTAGCTTACACTATTATGTATAGTATGGAAAAGTGGTTAAGAGACATTTAGACTAGCAGAAGCCACTGGGATCCTCCAGTGAAGCGGAGCAGTGGGAGGTGAAGAACCAAAGAACGGACATGTGCCACACATGCCAAGCACGTGGGTGTTTGGTCTGGTCCAGCTTGGCTCTTCAAACCTTCATTCGGTGAAAACGGCACCCACTAGAAACGTTTTGCGATCGATGTCGAGCTGAGTAGACAAACTTCTAAGGCCCACCAGCAAAACTGACTTTTTTCATGTGTCCCCGGAACTACCACAAGCTGCCATGGACAGGGTGTCTGGAACAACCCCTTTTCTCAGGGCTCTAACTTCATTGACCAAGAAAGAGATGGACGATGGGTTGCAGGGTATCCTCTGTCAACAGACCTGAGGCTTTAGCAGCACCTGCATGTGAGGGGTGAGCAGGTGCTATGCTCAAGCCCGAGGTTCCCGGGCACCAGGAGGTGCAGCTGCAGCCTCTCATTCGGAGCAGGTGGACAAGACTTCTGGGCATCACAGGCACTGGCACCCCCTTCTCCAGGCCGCACTGGAGGGAGCCTTCCACCATGCTAGCCAGGAACACTGGAAGCCAAACACAGCTGGCGAGCATCCACTCCGGGAAGGCACCCTTCCTCCTCAGGTCAGCACAGGCATCTGCCTCGATTAGGAGACAAAGACTGATTTGCCGGGTGGCTGGTGGGGCTGAGAACCTTGGCAAAGCCCTGAGGAAGCTGGGATGTCTCTCTGAGCTGCTTAGAGAGATTTGGGGCATGTATTTCTGTTCCAGCATCTGGATTGGGTCTTAGCTGGTCAGCCCTTTTGCCTTTGGAAAGGATTCCAGGACTAGCTCCTCAGGAAGATCTGCCCCAGGCCAACAGTTTGAGGGTGCTACAAAAGAGCAATGGTTTAATTTATCTATTTCCCCCCATCATCTTGGGAAAAGTGCCCTTTCGATTTCCTGTCCCAGGCACTAAAATGTCTGGGCCAGCTCTGTGAACTTCTGTCCCAGCGGCTGGGCACACCTGACAGATTAGGCAAAAAACCTGACAGTGTAGCCATGGGGAATGAGGAGGCCAAGCTGGAGGTGCCCCTGCCCTGCAGCAAATGGCATGAGGGAGAATTTGCACTGGAATGAAGGAAGGGTGCTGGCTCCGTTTTCCTGAAAAAATCCATGTGTAGGCCACTGGTGCCAAACAGAGACTAGCGAGGGATGGAAGTGGGGAGGCCCTGCATTCAAATCCTGCCTCGGTCACAAGTCACAGCTGCTTCTCTGCTGTGCCCGTCTCACTCCCAATCTGCACGACTGGGACAATAATAGCAACCTACCATACAGGATTATTTTCATGTTTCCTAAGGTAATACAAGCAAAGTCTTTTGAATGCTCACAGGAGCTCTGTAAATGTTAAGTATCATTACTCTGACGGAACATTTATTCTTCTAGAGAGGAAAATTATTATTTGCAAAGAAAACACAGAAAAAGTGATTCCTTAACTGGATCCAACTTCTGATCTGTTTCGGTGTTCAAGAGGTGAATGGAGGCTGAAGAGAGTGAATTGAAGGTTAACAACCTCCTACAAGATCAGAGGCTCTTCCATCCCCAGATGAACAATCAGGTGCAAATGGTTTGTAAGCACAGGGACTTGCCCCACATGCTGGGAGGCACGGCTTATTTATATATTTATTTATTTAAACCATTTCTATGCTGACCCATTTGCAAAAAGCCTCGGGGCGGCTTACAACATAAATTGCTCTGTTCTGTGGAGTTGCTGCCTGGAGGGAACCTGCCCCAGATCTCAGCAGCACTCTGGGGGGCTTGTAGTGGTTGAGTGCTGGAGGCTGAGCAGAGGCCCACAGAGGCCTTCTGGACATGGCACCTGGCTGCTGCCCAGCTGGTGTGCCAGTTGCCAGCCGAGTGGGATGCTGGCAGCCCGGGCACGTCTGGCCTAGCAGGGGCCCCCATTCGCTCCACGCCCCACTTCCGTGCAAAGGGGGCAACCAGTGGCACGCCAGGGCTGGGCTGGCACTGTGCCAGCAGTGGGGCCTGACCCGCACTCAAGCGGTTTTCCACTGCCTGGCACGGTGCCAGCCCGGTTGTGCAGCACCTGGCCAGGCACCTGTCGCCGCTAGCAGGAGCGCGAGCCGCCGGCCGGGGCACCCTTGTCCCGGGCACTTGGGCAGCGCGAGGCGGGGCTTGGGCGGGCTGGGGAGGAGGTGGCGAAGCAGGGAGAGGTGGCGAAGTGTGGCCGCCCCAGTGCTCACCAGCCCGGTGGGATTCTTCGCCTGTCTGGCCAGCAGGATTCACACGGAAGAGGCCAGACATGCAGTGCCTGGTGGGTGAGAACAGCAAGGGCAGTGCGCATGGGCCAAGGGAACAGGCAGACCTGCTCCAGCTGCCGAGTCCCACAGCCGGGGGAGGAGGAGGAAGCAGAGCTATCTGCTGTCTGAGCTGTGCATCCTTTTCTTCTTCCCACCCCGCTGCTTTCCTTGTGTGTGGTGCCTTTTTGCTGGCTGGCTGAGAGTGGTGGGGACAGCGCCTTAAACGCAAGACACGTCCTGATGGATTGGGCCCGCGTGCTCCATAGTCCAGCTTCCCATCCGAAGCTGGGGCTTCTACCATACTGATGCTCCGTCAAGCACCTGTGACAGCCGTTCCTAACCCTGCTCCCTCCAGATGTGTGGGAACCATGAAGCTGATTCTGGCTGGGCTGGTGGGAGTTGCTCCTTCCCAGAGGTTTGGCGCTGCCAGGCTGGGTGACTTCTGACTGCCGGCTTGTCCTCTGGGGCAACAACCGTGCAATGAACAATGGGTGGGGAAACACGCTCTGCAGGTAGATTGTGCCGGTGGTTCCTCGAGATCCGCCTCCCACGTGTAACTTGCCCCATCACGACTTCGGGGTGCCAGCAACCTCACCTGGACAAAGCCAGCAGCGTCGACCAAAACTTCCCTTAACAGTTCCTAAATGTTTGGATTGAGGAAAAAACCGGAAAATGCGCTTCCAAGGCAGCGTCCGGCGGGGCGGGCAGTGGGCGCAGGTCACGCGGTGGGAACCTGCCCGCAGCCCGCCCGCCGTCCGGCTGCGCCGGCACCGCTCGCTCGAGGTGCGAGCGTCTGACGGCGGTCAAAGGTGGCGGAGCGCGCCCGGCCCCTCCAGGCGCGGCCGGCTCGAGGCGGCAGGGGAGGCAGCGCGTCTCTCGCCGCGCCCCCGGGGGTCTCTGCCCGGGGCATCCCCCCGCGTCCCCCGCCCCCGCGGCTGCACCGGCGCGGCGCGGCGCGCCCGCCCGCGGAGCAGAGCGAGGTCGACCCCGGAGCGCTGCCGAGCCCAGGCCCCACGGGCGACCCGGGCCGCGCCGGCAGGACGCGCTTGCGGGGCGCGAGCGGGAGACGCGAGGCGCGCCGGCCGCAGCTCTCGGACTCGGCCCTCCGTGCCCTTCGGCTCCGCGCGCCCGCCATGTCACATGTTGGGGATTGTTGCCGGCTGGATGGGCTTTAACCCTTTCCGGTGCTGGCTCCCCCCACCCCGGTTCCAGCGGGCAACAGTAATGAAGAGCCAGGTGGGCCCGGCAGGAGGTGGGCGCCCCCCCTCCCGGCACCCCTGACCGAGCATGGAGGCCTCCTTCAGCAGGTAGAGAACAAAGCGGGCGAGCGGGCGGCGAGCGCTGCCGAGCATCTCCGGCGCGGCCGCTTCCCGGCGTCGCTCCCCGCACCCGGTGAGCCTGACCCGCTGCAGGCCCGGCCCGGCCCGGCCGCGCTCGCTGCCTCCAGCCCGCCATTCCGGGTCGGCGGCGGGCCCGAGCCCGAGCTCGGGGCCCTGCGCGTGCCCGCCCGCCCGCAACCGGCCGCCTTTGTTTCCCGGCGCCGCGAGGGAGCGGCGCGTCCTCCCTGGGCGGGTCGCCGTGCCGGGCGTGGGGAGGCCTCGGCGGGACCTGCGGCGGCCTGCGGCGGCGCCCACCGGCGGGAGGAGACACGGCGGGCGGGCGGGAGGACCGGCCGGCGAGCCCGTGCGCCCCGGGCGCACAGACGCGCTGCGCCCGGTGTGTCCCCGCAGCCGCCCTGGGCGCACTCGCCGACGGGCCGGCTTTTATGCTCACGCCAGCTCCCCGCCTGCCGGGGGTGGGAGGAGCCGGGCAGGTTGTCCCCGCTGGGCCCAGCCCTCCCCTCCCCTCCCCGCGCGGCTGAGAGGGGTCGGGGGAGGGGGCAGCATGGCCTGCCCGTCCGGCCCCTTTTCCAACGCTCAGCTGCCCCAGGAGTGTGGCGCTGCTCCTCGCAGGGAGAAGAGGTCCGAATGGAGACAGAAGCCAGCCAGCCCGGCCTCGCCTCCCCGGACTCCCCGCACGATCCTTGGTACTCGGCCCGGCCATCCCGAGCCCGCCCGGTCGGCCGCCCGCCTTCCTCCGCGTCGGCAGCGTCCCCGCCTCCCCGCGATGCCCGGTAGCTCGTGGCCGGGGCTGGCTTTCGTTGGCCGGGGAAGCCGCCAACATGGCCGATCGCCGCGCCGCACTCGCCTCCTCTCCAGGCGCCGCCGCTGCCGGCAGCGCCTCCGCCTCCTCGCCAGCCGGGCAGCCCGCCCCCGCGGCGCCCCGGCCCGCTCCTTCCGGCCCCGGACGGGCATCCCGAGCGCCCCGGCGGCGCACACAGCCGCTCGCCCGCCATGGATGGGGGAGTTCGGGGGTGTCCGAGCGCGGCGGCCCGAGCCTCCCCCGCGCTGCGCCCCCGGCCCTGCCTCCTGCGCCCCCGCCGCCTTCCCCGCCTGTGCTCGCGGTTTGCCCCCGCTTCGGGCGAGGACTTGGTCGCTGCTTGCGCGGGTGGCTCGCGGGGATGGGTTTAAGTCCGCGTTTCTGCTTTTCTCCTCGCTAGCAAGATGTTCATCGGGGGACTGAGCTGGCAAACTACTCAAGGTGAGCCGGGCGCGTGAGACGGAGGCCGGGCCGGGGGTCTTGGGGCGGTTCTCGCCGAGCGGCCCCCGAAGCCCGAACTTTCCCAACTCTTCTCCGCCCCTCCCCAACCCTCTCCGGTGCGCCGGGCTGGGCGGGGGGCGCTCTCGGGCGCGCCTTTGGCGGGGGGGGCCCTCAGCGCGACCGCCGCCGGCAGCCCCCTCCGCACTCGCCTGGCCGGCCGGCCGCGCATGTGGGTCTTTGTGATCCGCTCCGGGGAAGAGGACGGCGCTCCCGACTCGTTTGCGGGCGGGGGCGCTGGGGTCATGTGCCCTCTCGCGAGGCCGCTTTCCGCCCCCCGCGTGCCCCGGCGGCGGGCAGCGCTTCGCATCGCCCCAGGTCTCCGCCAGCAGAGGTCGATCGTCTTTCTCCCCCCACCCTCCTTTCTGGGAGGTGGCAGGCGGCGAGGCGGAGAAGAGGCGCCGCGGGGAGGGGGCCTGGCTGCCGCCACCTGCAACCCGGACTCAGTGGGTCGCCTTGCCTTGTGCTTGCAGAGGGGCTGCGGGAGTATTTCAGCCAGTTCGGCGAAGTGAAGGAGTGCCTGGTCATGAGGGACCCGCTGACAAAGCGCTCCAGGTGAGTTGCTTCTGCCCGCCCCCCCCCCCCGCCCGCCCACAGCCCCTTTCTAACCAGCTCTCTCTCTGTCCCTGCCTCCCTCCCCCCTCTGGTCCCCTATTCTGGCACAGGGGTTTCGGCTTTGTCACGTTCATGGACCAGGCCGGCGTGGACAAGGTTCTGGCCCAGTCCAGGCACGAGCTGGATTCGAAGACGGTGAGTTGCTTCTCCCACCTCGTGCAGTTTGTTTAGCTTTGAAAAGGTTTGGAGCCTCCGTCAATCACAGGTTGAGATCGGGAAACGATCTGCGGGGGGGGGGAGCCCCCCTCCCGGTTAGCAGGTTGGAAATTGGCTGCTCCTTTGCACAACACAGGGTGCTAATGGGCAGGGGAGTTTCTCCACTGAGGAGTGCTGATTTTGAAAAGTTTATCTCAGCTGTCTTGCAAAGGGCATCAGGGAGAGGCTGAAGCGAGAAGTCCTGAGCCGAAGACAGGCTCAAAGTGGTGCTAATGGCTGTTTTGGAGAATGCACCAGGTGTGTGTGTGTGGGGGGGGGGCAGCTTGGGCAGCCTGTGGTGTGTCTTGTGACATGGGCACGTGTGCTGGATCTGGACCATCTTCTTGAAGAATGTTTTCCCTTGCTCTGAAGTTCAGGGCCAAGTCCATGGATGTCTCCATGAGTTTACAGGATATTTTTGTAGACAGGGAGGCAGGCTGACCTGGCCCTTTTATTAGGTTTTCCAAGTTTGGTTGGTCTACACAAGCTGGTTTTGGGGACCTTCTTACTCACCTCTGAAAAGGAGCTTGTTAGGGTGCAAGCTATGCGGAGTGTCTGCAGCTGTTACCAGTTCCTTTCCCCTCTGCTCTAAGATGTGGGGAAAGAGGCACACCATGAGCAGAGAGGGAAAGTTGTTTCATGCGCTCAGAGACCAACTGCAGTGCCTTTGTAGTTCCCTGTGGTCTCTGGGGCCACATGAGGACCGGGCGCTGAAGCCAGTGGATGTTGGGGTGACAGAATCTGGAGCGTAGCCTTCGCACTGGGGTCCTTTCTGACTCACTGCTCTGTTTGGAATACCTGAATTGCGTCTTGACAGTTTGTCAAGCCATGTGATTTGGCTTTGCAGCATTCCGGTGAAATTAGAAATCTTGAGTCGTAAGGCTAGGCAACTGGTGCCCTCCAAATATTCTATTCTATTTCCAATTCTATTTCCTGGGTTTATGGGATTTGTAGCTCAAATGTCTGGTGTGCAAAGAAAGTTGAGGAGGAGGAAAAGGGACTAAGCCCACGCCAGTTTCCACCTGGAGAGCTGCTGAACCTCATAAGGGATTCATTCTGGCGGTGGCGGCAGCCCTGACACTGATCCTCGGCCGTCCCTCAGGTCTGCTTACCGGTCTGGCACCTGGCGTGCCTCGTGTGCGGAAAGGGACGGAGGCCGTTGTGTTTTGGCAGGTCTAAAAGTGAAGACGCAGGATGACTGTGGACACACAGCATGGCCGACAATCCGCGCCGTTGATTCATTCACATTCCCACCATCTGGTGGGTGCTTGGTTGGCCATTAATAGGCCATGGAAGGGGCTCAAGCTGCCTCATTTTAGGGCCGAAGACGGAAAATACAACTCAGACCTCAAACACAATCTTCTTTCTCATTTCTGGGGACTACAAGGTTTGGGCTGGCTTGCAGGTGTTTGTTTTCTTCCTAAAGTCTACAGATCTAACTGGTTTAGTGTATGGCTGCCCAGACCAGTGGATCCTGCATGAAGGGATTTGAATCTGAAGTAGTCCTTGACATTTGTGACCTGTTTGGCCTTGTTTGACAGATCAGAGTTGTGGGTGGGGGGGGGGGGGTATAGGCATGTGTGATGTCACGTATGCTGAATTTGGGAGTCCCTCCACATTGGGTACGTTTAGCTGTTTTTCTCATGGACTGAAAGAGTTGCGACACAGGACTCAAGGTTAGTGTTGCACGAAGGAAACTGTTTTTCAAAAAAATTTTTTCCAGTGAACAACTTTGAAGTCCAAGCAACAATCTACTGGAAAGTTTTCCTGTGTGAGTCCCATAGAAATGAATGGAGCTGTGCATTGCTCTTTCATTTCAGTGGGTCAAGGGAACTTCTTGGTGGCTGTTGCTCTGTTGTGTGAACAGTTTAAGTACAGTTCTGGTAAACTTCTGTCTGCAAGGGGAACAAAAGAAGCCAAGGGAAGGTCTTTCCGTGAGGCCATGTGTGGGGGTGGCAGTGGAAATCACAGGTCTGCTCCTGTTGTAAACCTGTGGATTGCTCCCTTTGACTGTTCCCTTAAAATTAAAACTGTATCTTAAAGGTTAGGCATTTCTAAAAACAGGACAGAACTCTGTGGATTCCCCACCCTGCTGCTGTGTCAGCTTTGCGCAGCGGGTGGGGTGGCCCCCAGGGGAGGATGCTGGGGGAGCGTGTGCCTGGGACACTCGTGCTCGAGGGTCTTGCCTGGTCCTGCTCTAAGACCGTTCGGGCCGCTGCCGCAGGAGCGTGAAACTGGGAGAACACTCCGTGGCGCTCGCGAGGACTGCATGGTCGGGATCCCCGTTTGGAATGCCAGCAGGAGGAGCGTTTCTGGGGTGGGGCCACTCCCCCCAAACTTCCTGCGGTGCCTCATTGGCTATGCCTGTCATGCATCGTTAGGAGACAGGCTCGTCCCTCGTCCTCAGAGAGGCAAGCGATGGATATCCAGGTGTCCCACGGCACCCTGGGTGTTTGTGGGGACCCCGGTGGGAGGAGGGGAGTGCTCTGGGGCCCCCGTCCCCCCCGTGGCACACCAGGGAGCCCGCCCGTGTGTCCTTGCAGCCGGGCCCTGGGCCTCCCCGTGGGGCAGAGCAGGTGGGGGAGGGGTGGAGTGAGCCAAGGGAGGACGGGCGGGCTTTTGAAACCCCCTGATGTGCCTGGCTGGGCGGCTGGAGGGGAGGAAGCGGGAAGTGTGGGGGCAGCTTCAGCGCCGAAGAGCCCTCTTTGTCTTTGTCTCCAGCGCACACCATTCCGCCTTTCTTCCTTTCCCTCTACCTCTGGGCCAGCCCAGGATGCTTTGGGGTGTGGCGTGGAGGATGCCCTCCCCAAATTCATGCACACGCACTTACTTCGCATGGGGCATGGCCTGCTGGGAAGTCCTGGGCAAGCCCCACTGGAATGGGTGGGAACAGCAGCTCCGCAGCTGCTCCCGTTCACTTCAAGGAGCCCCTCTTTGTCGCATCCTGTGCCCCACTGGGACGGACGCGGTTAATGCACCTCCCCCTCCGGGCCCTCTTGTATTTATTTGCATGCAAAGTGGGTACGGCCTTTTGAAATGCGTTTGCTTACTGCAGGGCCCAGTAAAAACCAGTGAGACAGTGTGGCTGCCCGGACAGGAATTGAAGCAGTTGCCAAACTCCGGCTAAAGGGCTGCCTGGCAAAGGCTGCCGTGCTGCGTGGCAAACGCCTTCAAAGCCGTGAAGGCACACCAGGGGATGCTTGTGCAGGTGTGCCCGGGGCACATTAATCCCCCCGAGGAAGCTCCCCGGGACATTGCCCAGGAGAGGGCCAAAGCCAGTGGGATTTGTCGGTGGGCCTCCCGTGCTCAGGGGTGCCCCAAGGGGCCCCAGGCAGGGGCCTGGGAGCTTCCTCAGCTGGGGAAGGCAGTGCACCTTGGCTGGAAACGCGCCGTGCTGCCTGAGGGGAAGGTTTGGCTTCGGTCTGTAAGGCTGAGGGGGCTGCAGCCTGCCAGCGCCCGAATGTTGGGCCTTGGCCGAACTTCTGGGGGAACAGGAGCCTGTCCCAGAATGTCTCTGTGGAGTCATTCAAGTGTCACGCAAATGCATCCTGCCCTTTTTTCTCTTGTGAGGAACCCAAGGTGGCCCCCGCAGCTCTCCGTCACTCCATTTTATCCTTGCAACAACCACCCTGCGAGGTAGGCAGGCTGTGAGTGAGTGACTGGCCCAGAGTTGCCCGTGAACCCCAGTGGCTGCATGGACTAGAATGTGGATCTCCTGGGCCCCTAGTCCAGCCCCCTGCCCACCACACCGGCCCGCAACTGAGTCGGATGCTTCCGTAAGCTGCCCAGCTCGGATCCCCTCCAGCCCAGCCTTGTGCTCCCTGTATGTGTAGGGCCGCCCTGCACTTGTTCTCTCCCCGAGCGGCTTTCCCGGAATTCAGGCCAAGAACGTCCTTTCCCTGCACTTGTGCAATCATCCTTTTAAACTGGGCCTTCACCAGGTTAGAAGGCCCTCTTGATGGAAGCTGAGCTGCTGTTCTCACATGCATGCACACCGCAGGATTTTCCTGCAGCGGCTGAGTGGCAGGTGAATCCCTTGGACTGGCAGAAGCAAAAGGGCGTTTGCGAGCCATCAGTCAGCATTGCGGTCATACGGCGATACATGTGTGTGCCTGAAGCAGCCCCGGTGGCTACGGTTGTTTTCCCCCGGCCTGGAAGTGTGAGCCGAGTTTGTGCGGCTATACCAGGAGAAGCCACGTGCCACGTGAGAATGGTCTTCATTCTCCTGCGTGGGAGGCACCACGCTGGCGTTTGTTTGTGGCAATGGGCATTTAATAGGCACCTTGGCTGGGCGCAAGGACGCGCTGGAAGTGGCAGCCTTCTAAAGGGCCTGCTCTCCCCCCAAGGGGTGGGGCAGGGCGGGTGGGGCATTCGGGGCTTAGAGGGAAGCCATTTGTAGCTTTGCCTGTGCTGGGGATCTGTCGACGCGTCTTCCACAGCTCTGGCTGCTGTGACACCAGTTTTGCCACAGATGCCTCAGATCATGACGGAAGCCCATTAAATGCGGTCATGGGGCTTTGACAGTAATTGCACGGTGCTTGGTATGGGATCAGGATCGCAAGAGAGCAGATTGTCTCCTCGGTTCCACCCCTGACTCCTCGTGGCTGCGGGTGAAAGCCGAGAGTAGTTTTTAAAAGACATCTATTATTTATGTGTTCAAGAGTGTAAGAGCAGGTGGGCTTTCTCGTGCCCCCCATACACGTGGCTGGGGCACTGAAGCAGGAGGGGCGGGGCTGCCCCCACTGCTCCCTGGTTTCCATGGGGTCTGTCCGGGGCAGGGCTGTGTCATGTGGTGCCTCAGACTGGCTTGCAAGGTGTGACCGAGGGTGCCTGGGGTGACAGCAGTCGCAGGCCAAGGGCTGCCAGCCTGAGGAGAGGGACTTGCCTGTCTCTGCTTGCAGAAGGACGCACGGGATCTGCAGCCACGTTCGCTGGGCCGC